GGGGGGGGGGGGGGGGGAAGAAATAGGGATAGAGACGAGAGCGGAAAGAAAAGGAGAGAAACGATGGGGAAAGAGGCGCGATCCAAGAGCCGGGGAAGAGGGGAGGGGAGGAACGAAGTTTGGGTCCCGAGGGCAACCGTCCGTGGGGCCCGTTAGAGAGAACCGGAGGGAGAGGGTCGATGGAGGAAAAGGTCGACCAACCGCTAGAAACCAAGGGCGAAACGGAGGAGAGGAGTTCGCGGCGACTCTACCAGAACGCTCCGGGATAGGGATGCTCCGAAGGATGATACCTGCTCGGAGGGATGCCGATACTTCGGCGAACGTAGCTGAAGTTGAAACCGAAGCTATATACCTGGGCTGCGAAAGCCAGTTGCCTCCCGAACAATATCGAAGTTAAGAACCGGAGCAGCGGCGCAGGCCTGCACGAGACTGTTCTCCGGTGATTTAGCGTACGGCTAACGACTTCTCTCGGCGACGAGCGTCGCCGCTGGTAAGACGAGTCGACGCGAATGGAAATGAGTCAGCGAGCGAGTTCTTAAAACCCCGAGTCGTCCTCCGATCCTATTCAAACGCCGCTCTCGCCAGATACACGACATACACAAGGTGTCCGAAAACGCCGTCGTCGACTTCGAGCGGTCCTTCCCCCGAAGTTGGCTTCGTCTTAAAGTTCGGGGCTTTCCGTACGTCTTTTGTGCGTACGCACGTCAAATAACACGTTACATCGTATTTTGTCTCAGTGACGTTTCATCGCCGGCCAAGCCCAAGCCGAAGGCTAAATAAGGGCCCCGGCGATCGGTGGATAGAAAAGCGCTTCGTGGTCCCTCTCGGCAGAGCGGAAAGCGTAGGGGGACCGCGAGAAAGGGAGAGACAGAGAAAGCGAGAGAGGAGAGAGGGTGAGGGAATCTGGGACCCGCGACGTCCTTGGGTCGGTAGTCTCTCCGCGTTGTTCAGGGCCGTCTCGACGTCCCCACCGGCGTCATAACGGAGGAGGTCATGTACTTTTCCTTCTCCTCTCCTGTCTCTCGCTCCTTCCTTCCTTTTTTTTTCTCCCTTCCTTCCTCCCTCCCTCCCTCCCTCCCGTCGGAATCGCGACCGGCGGCACAAAGGCGACAAAGTACTTCGTCAGCTCGTTCGAAATCGATCGGCGATGACAAACGAACGCGACGGGATTTGAATCGCCACCGATAATTCTTCGGGCCTCGCGATGGAGCTCGGGAAAATTTCGCGCGGACCCGAGTGACTCGGCCGTTTTCTTTCTCTTTTTATGCTTGCGGCTAGACATCGAGTTAAACGTTTCGCACAAGTGGCGTCATGTTGGCGTCATGCTGTACCATTCCCTAGACAGAAAATTACACGATTTTTTCAGTCTTATACATAACCCATGAGGTTGAAAGTCGCGTAAGTAACTCTAATTATAACGATAGGGTTGTAATGGCCCTAATTATAACGGTTTTGACCTCGTGTGTGTGTGTGTGTGTATTTAATGCTGGAAACGGTGTAATTTTCCGTCTGGGGAATGAAAGGACGTGTCGGCTGTATTTTCTTTTCTCACGTGAGGCACATCGACTCGCCCGTTTGCAACTCTATTCCGAACGCGACCTTCCTTTACGCATTTTGCATCGAGGATTAATATCCCTTCGCGTTATCGCAGGAGAGTTTTATAATTTCGCTGCACGGCTTTCCGACGACTCGGCGGCTTCGCGCGATTTCTATTTCGGTCGCGATGTGCACGCGCCGAGGGCTTCTACGAGCGGAATCCCGACTGGTGCGTCAATAATCACGGTCGTGGGTTGTCCTCCTGCTGGCGTAGGAGGAAAGTGCAGCAGTCCTCTCGCTCGAGGAGGCAAGGTACAGCTTCTTTCGCGGATATATAGTTCGCCGGAATCGATACCGGCACTTCTCTTTCTCCGTCTCTCTCTCCCTCGTCTCCCTTCATCTCCAGAACGCGGCAAGGTGGCGCATAGAGTAACGATCGCGGACCAGCCACGGCCGCCGCGCTCTACGTGTGAGAGAGGAATAAAACAGATCAATGATCGTAACGTCGACGTACGTCTCTCGGCGAGCGACCGACACCATCTGCGTCGTAGAACGACGTGTATATATGCACGCACACGTGGCCTCGCCGCCGCCGGCGTGTCGATTAGTTCAGCCGACCTAACGAGTAGTCCAAATAGTTTCATCAAAGATCCACGTACGGCCGAAGCGTACGTGATCGAGTTGCACCGCGTAATGAGTAAATTCGAGGATACATGACGAGATAAACGGGAGAGAGTATAAAAGGGTAGAGCGCGAAGATGCGGAGCGCTCCGAGAGCGTAAGCGAGAGAGACCAGTCGAG